GCCCATTGGTTCGACATCCCATTGTTCCGACCATATTAAACTCATTGTTCCGAAGTCCGTTCCAAAATCATCATGACGCCCTGTGGTTAAGGTCTGGTTAGGTTTAGGCACAAAAACCACTTGGTTAGGGTCAGGAAAAGATCATGGTGTGGGTTAAAATGAAAAAGAAAGTGGCAAACACATAAGCTGTGAGCCTGCTCCACCTCAAGCCGGTCGCGGCGCACCATACGCCCGCCGTGAGCCGTTCAGCACCGTGGACAGTCGGACTAATGGGATGTCGAACCAATGGGCTGTCGAACCAATGACATGGACCCGGGTAAATCACACACAAGACAAAATGGTATTTTGTGGGGGCTTTCAGCTTAAAAAAGTAGACCACAGGTCTGCGTCCCTGCGACTTGTAGTTACATTTCTGGGGAGGCGTACATCAGCCTACAGTACAGTACATCAGCACAGTGTAGGCTCTACGATGCCTATGCCGCAGGTACAGCGTTGATTTGACTCAGAAGTATAAATCCTGCTTGACACGACAAGTAAAATACAGGAATGTGTCATGCCATTTTCACAACTGAGTAATAATACGGTATAATACATTTACAAAGATTATTAATAATTTTTTAAAATGTATATTTGTTATTTATTTGTTGTTAAAACAAGTGTGACTGAACTGAATCATAAAAGAATACTACTGACATTGCACTTTCATATAGCATATAGCACTATTAACCACAGCAGAATGAATTTGCTGAACACAGGAGCTGCCAGCCCACCTCTGCCTCAGCCTTTAGTTTGTTTGTGTTATTGTGTGACTTTGATGAATCCAAACTAACCCTTTTAAAACACCAATGTCACATAACAACAAACAAACTGATTAAGACAGCGGTAGCTGCTCCCGTGTTAATAAGGCAAAATTACTGTTGTTGTCAGGGGAGTCTGGCTTTGAAGAGAGCATAGATAAATTCTTCTTTTAGTTCAGCTCCTTGTCAGAAAGGACTGTGTGTGTGCCAAGTACTGA